AAACCAGAAGTAAACTGATGAAAAGATACAGTCCCAAATTACTCAGGAGGAAACGGGGGAACAATGAGTAATTTACGGTTGCTTCTTGTCTCTCTGCCACAACAGAGCTGGACGCTGCCAAGGCTTATCAATGTCATTTACATTTTTTCTTGCAGCGCCCTAAGGGCAAATCCTTCAGAACTAGTCAGCAAAAGAGTGTTTGAGTGACTTTTCAAACGGTGGCGGTTATGATTACTTCCTTTGAAGAAAAAAAGAATTAAGCTAAAAGAAATTCACAGCTAATTACACTGTCCTGCACCTTCATTAATCTTTTTCAAAAGCATTTTTATTGGGAACAAAAGAAATATGTTGGCAAAAGACAAGCAGTGACACAACTTAATATCATTGTCAAGCTATGTTTCTGTTCCAAAAAAACCCTTTGATCTTCCAGCTTATAATTTTTTTTCTTCAAATCATCCTGAGGGGATAGCACACTACGAAGAAACTATAGAGTACCTCACGTGTTTGAAAAACGTTCTCATAACATGTGAAATCACAGGTTTTTTTTGTAGAATTCAGCATTGTCTGATTCATGAACAGGCATTTTTCTAACGTTAATATGTATTGCAAGCAGATTATGCATGTCAAGAAAAAAGATTGAAAACCTAGACAGACTAGATGGAAAAAATAAAAACCCATAAGTTTTGCAGAAGTTAAAACTGGGGGGTTCATTTTAAAGGTAGCATTTACTTTAAATACAGAAAGACTTTATGGCCAAAATAATTAATCTAGAGATGCAAGACAAAGAAATAGAAAGACATAGAAAGATCTGAAAATATACCTATGGCTTTATTATAACACACTTTACATCGGGTCTGAGAGGTTCTGTCATTTGTTCTAATGGGAATCAATGGCGTTGGGCCATTGATGGCGTATATAAGTTAGAAGTGGGCTTCACAGTTTAATGTTGTGATGCAATATGTTTATATTTAATAAAAAATATTCTTGAGGGAGGAGAAAGATGATAGTAAATCAAAGGATCACCGCACCTTTTTAAAAGAATTACATTAGGCAGATTTTCGGCTCGTTTTTTGCATGGAGACGTAACCTCAACACTTCAACACACCTCCTTTGGTCTTTGTAGATTTGTTGCAGAGCTGTTTGGTTTAGATACTATTTGTAAATACTTGGTGAAACATTGGGTGGACTTTTTTAGCGTATTATGTGCTAGTTATCAGCATGAAGTATGCCAGATTAATAAAGCAGTTTCAAAATAAAAAAAAATGTTCAAATGGAAAGTTTAGAGTTTTTTTCCAGCAATTCAGAGGAGAACTCTGAACTGCTGGCTCACCCCTCCCTTTACCTCTCGGATGGTTATTGCTAAACATTATGCTCGCCTAGAACAAATTCACTCTGACAAAGGCAATGCTATTTTGAAGTACATTTAGAAAGACAGAAGCATAATTTTACTCAAACATATTGCATCCTTCTTTGAAGGGCAGGGTGGTGAAAATGAACATATGGAGAAATAAGAACATTTACACTAGTTAAGGAGTACTACAGAAATTCACTGGGTGTGTTTTCTTTATTGACCAAGTGTTCCAGCTGACAAAGGGCTGTGAAGCAAAATTAAATAACTGACTAAAAAGAGCAAGTTCTAAAGGTAAATATCTTTAGTTTTCTTTCCCATATATGCCATTACCATTGCCCAATACCTAAAATGACTTTTTCTCTATTTACCAGAGTTAATATAGGCTGCATTTGAAAATTTTTGAGAGATTTATTCAGGAGCGTTCTGTAGCTTAACACGTGGGTGTGACATGCTCTGCACTCTCATTTACCCGACTTACATCATTGAGTCTCTGCCGCGGAGAGAGAACAGGGACGATGATTAATGCTGATGGATCACAAAAGACCAGCCAAAAGTACACCTCAAAACCCATCATACACTCCACATAAGAGTAAGAACGTTTAACTTTTGTCAAGTGTAACAAAAAGAGCCAAATCTAATCATTGCTATAATAAGACAAGACAAAATATTGGGGAAGTTTTCAAGAAGGAGGGATCTTAGAAACATCTAGCAATGACCCTCTTTTTGCTACAAAAGTAAAATGCTCTGTTCAAGATAACCTCAATATTTACCTTATCTACCTTCTTCCCCCCCGCTGACATTATACACTGATTGTTGGTCACTCTGGTGAGTAGTTGAACGGACATACATGAAAGAAAAAAACAAGCATTGTCCCACTCTGGCTGCACAGGTATTTGGTTAGAGCTACACTCAAAAATATAACCCAACACTTTTGGTTTTGCTCCCATTTTTTATGAGATGAATCCAAAGTTGTAAAAATGTTTCCACAAACACAATATCACGGTTTCCCTCAAATATTGTTCATCAACCAGTCTAAATTTGTGATAGTGAGCACTTCTCTTTGAGATAATCCATCCAACCTCATAGATGTGCTTTATCAAGATGCTGATTAGGTGTCTCTCCTGCTGATTACTGTAGGCACCATGATTAGCGCACAGGTGTGCCTTAGACTCTGAAAGGTGAAGTTTTGTTTTATTTGGGGGTCTGGGAACTCAGAAAACCAATCAGCAGACGGCTTATGTTAGAGAAATGAACCTTCAATACAATAACAACAGTTCTGGTTGACATTCCTGCTATCATCATGCCAATGGCATGCTCCCTCAAATCTTACGACATCTGTGGTATTGTGCTGTGTGATAACACTGCACCTTTCAGAGTGACCTTTTATTTAGGGCAGTCTAAGGCACACCTGTTCACTAATTATGGTGTCTAATCAGCATCTTGATATGGCACACCTGTGAATTGGGATGGATTATCTCAGCAAAGGCGAAGTGATCACTATCACAGATTGAGACTGGTTGATAAACAATATTTGAGGGAAATGGTGATATTGTGTATGTGGAAAAAGTTTTAGATCTTTGAGGTCATTTCATAAAAAATTGGAGCAAACCCAAAAGTGTAGTGTTTATATTTTTGTTGAGTTTACCTCCAAACAAAAGACCTGCAGAGCCACAGTGGCAAAATGCTTGTTTTTTCTCCCATGTATGTGCCAAAGACCGTTCAACTACTCACCAGAGGGTGCAAACATCTGCTAAAAAATAATTTTGTTGAAGCTAAACTGAATTGGTGGTCCCTCACGTTTGTATGAATATATGCATTAGTATGAATCTAAGTAGGCTCTATTTAGGTCTAATTTTCAAAAAGAATAAAGAGATGTAAACATTAACTTTATTAGAACCAGTGTTATCATTTTAATTTTAGCAGGGGTAAAAATTAATGTTTAATTTTCTGTTGCACATAAAATATAGTAGATATTTATCTAGGGAACAACACAATAGTTTTCAGTATGTTAACTATTTATTATTGCTGTTTTCCTTTGACAAAACCTACTATTTAGTCAAAACATGTTTTTGAACAAGTATTAGCTATCTTTGTATTTCAATTGACATAATTTATGGAATGCAAACTCGATACACAGTTCCAGAAGCTGTTAGGTCTTTGTTTGAAATAAAAAACAGTATTGAAAACAGTTTCAGAAAATAAACAACTGTGTATTTAAACAAGTATTGGGTTTTCATTGTTAAAATGTTTTAAATTATGCAACATGCTGTGTAGGTTCTGTGCTGCACTTTTCTATTAGCTGCTAAGCCTTTTTTAACAGTAATATATAAGACAGAAATGCCAGAAATTTAGTTAAAATATTTTAATATTAACAGCTGGAGTTTCAAATTCAGATTTTAAGAATCATTATCATGTCGTACATTCTTATGCATCAGTTGTAAATACATAGATAAGGCTATATTTATTTTTTTATGGTTAAAAACCTAATTCAGATATAGACATTTTAATGAATTCATTAGCCAAATTCTATATAGTCTCACAGTGTATTCTTGCTCTTTCATAGGTTCACATTACAAACAACTATATCATATAGAAGCACATTTATGGTATCCTTAGTAACAAAGACATATGTATAAACCAATATTTGTATTATATGTAAGCCATGCTGGCTGCAATTATACGGGAAGTGGTACATAGCTAATTAGCTTTGACCGTGCATAAGGGGATAAAAGCCTTACCTAAGTGTTGGTATATTAAAACAAAATGTTATCAAGTCTAATCAGCTTCATACAGCTCCCAGTTAAAACACCTAACTGTCCAGAAAAGCTTGCACTCTTTAGATTATTTAAGTTATCTTTAATTACTAACTTGGTTATTTTTTATTATTTGTGCACTTTAACTTTAAATGCTGAAATTACCTCTAATGTGATACTGTTTTTAAATTAATATCTACCTGCAGTAACATTCTGTAAGAAATGCACATTTTTAGGAGGGTACCATGAAGAGTTTAGGCCTATTTAAAACCTTTTTAAAGTCTTCTTTTTATGAATTTTTGTTTGCTGATGTTATATTGGAATGATTCATGGAAGGGTTAATCACACTCAATGTTTCTACACGGCAGAATTAAAGCTATAGTCCTGACAGGTGGTTCCTGTTGGACATGCCTTGTGTTTTGTGTCCCTAGTCAGACCTGTTTCCTGTGCTCCTCTTTTGTTTTGTAAAACCAACAATCGAAACAAAAAAGTAACAACCTAGAGGCCTCAAAACAGTCTATCAACTAGTAGGTGATATTATGTGGGATTTATGAACTTTCTCTACAAAATACCTGAGGGCTAACATCAATAACCAACATCTAAAATCGATAATTTTACCAAAGGTTTTCAAGAGTATGATTTGTTTTAAATGAAAACTGAAAGAAGACATATAAACACTGCAATACTGATGTCACTTATTTTTAAATTTCTCTATAAACTGTTTTAAGAGACTCAACATAATCCTATTTAGTTACAGGTGTGATTCCCTCAGAAGATCACACTCCATTCAGTATACTACAAAAGACTTTCTATAATTATATGTACTCTATTGCAAAAGCCTTGAAAATAAATAACTCAAAGTGATGACTTATGTGATGTTTTGCAGACACACTGACCTGCCTCCCAACTTTGTTATTATGCAACCTCATTCTTGCATGGATGTCTCTGTAGGTTTCGCGAGCATCCAGGAAGTCCCTTGAGAACTTCTCCCCAAATTCCACATCAGGGCTGCAGCCACCCCACTCCCAGGAGTCTGGTTGCAGTCCAGAGAGGTCGGCTGGGTAATGCTCCATCACACCATGAACCATCCCCTTCCCCCTCTGAATGGCCTCCAACTGTAAGCGGGTAAGCTTCAGTCGAAAGGCCTCTTCGTCCCCACGCCGCTTCTCATCGCAGCCGCACGCTTTCAGTTTTCCCATGGAGCAGGCGTTGGCCACCGCATGCACCACCCCAGCTGCTGCAATGGCATATGCAAAGGCACTCTCTCGAAAACCTGTGGGAACAAACATTTTGTAAGTAAAAAGCACAACTTATGGGGAACGATATTAATATTTTTCTACAATAAGAAACAAGATATAAAGGAAAGGAGACCAACTCAAAATGCTGTATTATTGTGAGGTATAAGAAAAATGATACATGATTATAAAGACTAATGTCTTTCCACATATATATAGGTTTTTAGAGACCACACCATTCAATGATATTCAATGACATCCAGTTTAATTGAAATTCAATTAAATTCATTTATATAGTGCCAATTCACAACACATGTCATCTCAAGGTACGTTACAGAGACAGTACTGTCAGATTGGTTGGATAAACATTTGATTTCATTCAGTTATTGACTCCTCCTGGATGAACCTGTGGCGATGACCTTTGATTGCGTTTTGCTGTTGACTCTTCAGCAATCTTTCACTACCAATTCAATTCAGTTTCATTGAATTTCACCAATTAAGAAAAAAATGTAACCTCAAGAAACTTTACAAAGTCAATTTAATCGTACAGATTCCAAGCACAAGAGTAAAAATTACTCATTCTTTACTTAAGTACAGACATCTGTGTAAGAAGAGACTCCATTAAAACATAACTTACCAAATAAACTTAACTTCAGCGCAAAAGCAATATGTCTTTGCCTTAAAATAATACATAAATAAAAACATTTTGAAACATTTTCTTAAAAAACATTTTTTCCTCTTCTGCTTACTGTGTTGGTAGAAAGAAAATGAAAAAAATACTGACTCAGTCTAGTTTTGCTTTAAATTTATTTTCCAGGCTGAATGATATGATTGAATTCATTTTCAGAGTTCTGGTATTTAAAGCATTAAAGCTACATTCACCGCGTTATCCTCTTTGCAGAAATCCCTCAGACAAAGAATGCATGTAATGGTGGAAATAAAACCTCTACCATAAAGTTATCCCGACAACAGATTTGGGCACCTAGCAGTGCAGGCATACAGTCAGTTTTCCACTTCATATGAAGGACTGTACAATGCTCCATACGATCCATATTGTTGTTTGCAGTTCTAACATAAATGTGGAATAGTTCAAGGGGGGGAAACACTTTACAACACACTGTTGCAGAGTAATTGGACAGTTTGTAGTAGAAATAAGAACATACCGTAGCTAAAAAAGAAACTGTAATTATTATTAAATAGTTCAGGTAATTCTATCTAAAACATTTTAGTTTTTAAAGAAACATGAGAGCCAAAAATGAAATATTCTGGACCAACAAATGTTTGCAATTGGTACTTTCATTTTTCATTTCATTGAAAAGGAAAAGGCTATATTATCCTTCTTTAAGCCACGCTGTTTAACATCTGACCCAAGTATTAGCTTTATTTGAGAAATATTTAAAGTTATTTCAGGTCAAAATACAGCACTTGGCATGTATTGTTGTTCCAAGCGGGTTGCCCATCTCAAATATTAACCTATGTAACTTAAAAGGGTCGGATCTATCCCTAAAGTTCCACAGTTTTGCTTAATCAACAGGAAAAAGCTACCGCTTTAGGACTCAACATTTTCTTTGCAACCACAGAAACATAAGAAAGCATGCACGACACTTAATGATTAATGAATCATCGCTTAATTGTTCTGCATTCTTATGACAGATATTACAGGTATTCCTTCCCTCTATCAACAGAATAGACAAGCATAACTCATAAAGCATGAGGAACAGTGGCGGCTGCTGCTCTTTGACACACAGGAGGCTCAATGGTGTTAATTTAATCCAATATAACGTATTGTACAATAGCTGTTGTGAAGTGCTCTGAAATAATATGCTCCAGAAACCACGGCACAAGATGACTGTTCTAACTGAATGATCACTTTTCCCTTTCGACTCATGTGGAAAACCTCCTCGCTGTTTGGCCACTGTCAGTCAGAAATCCTTAGGTATGATTGCCAATCAGCATCTAGTAACCAGCTTCTTGATCCATCCCTGCTCCATAGACCCCCTAAGAGGTTTAGTTTCACTGGAAGTAGCATATTTTGGCGTGTCAACCAATCAGGGCTCTACTTTCTCGCTGCTTACCTCAATAGACTGAGGCTCAAACCTCAACAGGCATTTCACATAAAGACTGACCGACAATGTTCTGCTGCTTTAGAGCGGAGGGGGGAGATCGCGTCCGAGAGTGTAATATACAGCTGATTAATGCGCAATATGCTCATGAAATCAGGTGCATTTTATTGCATATTTAATGCAGTTTAATGACTACATTTACGAAATTTGACGATGCATATTTTACCAGTGTTTAGACTCCCTTATTTTTTGTCTTGTTGTTACACATATGCAATGCATAACAAAAGTAGCTGTACCGACTAAACATTTAATATTTTGTGAAGTTAAAACATTAAATTTCAACTAACATTTTTTAGATTATATGTTGTAGGGCAGGGTTTCGCCCACTGTATTATAAGCCCTTGTGGGCTGCCTGCTTTACCTTCACCCTCCCCAATTGAAAAATTAAAAAATGTGGAACATTTTACGGCCTATGAATGTTTTAGATGGCAATGCACAAAGTATTCTCAGAAGTTAAATTACCCAACACAAACAAGACACCAGGGATAAAAATATTTCATATTTCCATCTTACCTTTTCCAAAGTATTTGGTTCTTTTAATTAGACTATAACCAGTCAAGTTAGTTAATCTCTTGTTTTTCTGGAAGATCTAGTACGATTCCGCTCATGACTTGCATCGTTTTAAACATGGTGCTGAATCTTAATGAAATATGCACTTGTTTATTTTAGAGAAGCTGCTTCACAGTGTTGTGGCTTTTGCCCTGTAATCAAGCCAAATTGACTGAGAAGGATCAATGTAAGAAAGGGAGGTGATTATACACCTATGTGAATTTTAATGACTTTGCTACCTTGTTAAACTAAACACGTTTTTCTCTTTGACAGCAGATGATGAAATGTGTGTATTTTTTCCTTTTTGATCAGTTTTTTTCAATCATGTGTGTATGCATTTTCCTCATAAGAAAGCAATTAATATTTGTTTGAGTAAAAGTGGAAGTTAGACAGAGGAACATTTGCTCTTCCCATCTATGGTGTTTGTTGTAAGATCTCAGCTATCTGCCCCTGAAGGTGCCCTCTGTTTTTTTTAAGCAGCCCAACCAACAAACACTTACTGGTCTAGAAAACAGTGAGGATTAGAATGGAAACTTGTAAACTGAACATGAAAAGAAACCTCTCAGGGGTTTACAGTGCAGTAGTTTGAAAGGGGGAAGTGTTCCAAGCTGCGTGTTGGAGTCATATAAAATCTAATAACTTCCCTTTTTAGCACCATTTGAGATAACTTACTTCTTTATACAGATGTCAGAAAACATAAAACTAAATTTTTATTTTAAATTGTGGTATATCGTTTGACGTAGTTTCTGTCGTATGAAATTCTTTGCTCAGCATATCTTGCCTAATGATAAACACATAAAAAGTCAAAGGAAGTTGTTTAAATACAACATTCAAATGGAACTCTAAACATAGAAGGTTTTTAACCTTGATTTAAAGAAAACCAGGGTTTCAGCACTTTTGAATCCTCCTTGGTGTTTAAAATACTGTTTCTTCATGATTGGTTCTGGTTCTGTGGATACACACTAGGCTTACACCAGATGATACAACTGGTTTGATGATGCTCAGCTATGACTCTTTTCTCAGATACAGGAGGCCAGTCTAAGGATTTGAGAACTGGGGTGATGTACTCTATCTTTTTAGTTTCATTGAGGACAAGAGCAGCAGAATTCTGGATCAGCTGCATCTGTCTTACCAACTTTTTAGGCAGACTTGTGAAGACAGCAGAACAGTAATAATCATAACCAAAGCTCAAAGGATGCATTGATTTTTCGAGACCCTGCTAAGATTTTGGTCTTTTAATCCCAGCAATGAATCCCTACAAGCAGTAAATGAGAAAATCAAGCTTAAAGACACAAAACAGCCTGTTGTAATATTGTGATTCTGTTATGATATTTTTTTTCTAAACTTTGCTTTCCCTCAGTATTAAAACCGATCTCATAAATGTTCCTAAAATGAAAAGCATTTTACTACTGCAGATTTATTGGCAATAAATAATGCAAGTCTAACAAACACCCTATACAAAAATGATTACACTTGTGGCAAAATAAAAATTAAATAAAAAAAGAATGTCATGTTAAATTATCTTCACTGCTAAAATACAATCCTTGAAATTTAGCTTAAAAATTTCAAACTTTTCTTCAAAATAGATTAAATTATTATTTTTAGATTAGCTAAAAATGCAATCATTTTTGCTTATGTATTCCTGAGAAAAAAATTAATCTATTTGATATTTTCACCCAACACTCTACTGTGTTTCAGCTTGAAAATGTTGGATCAACAGAGGTGGATCAATGCTATGCAGCTGATCCTCCTCTAGTGCCTTCTGTTAAGATGATCCTGAAAATTTGGATACAAAGAAGAGCGCCTCTAAATACCTGAAACCTACCAAGAAATATTGTATATACTGTAAATTCATATGAAGAAATATTTAGAAGACGGCTATATAAAAGAAAGAAAAAATAATAATTGTGACAGAGGTTGTCTGACATCAACAAGTAGCCTAAAATACTACAGAAAGCATTACATGATACTCCACTTCTTTCTAGGACACATTCAATTCTTAACCATGGAAACTTATCAGCTTTGAAATTTTTACAAAGCAATTACTAGATCTTTTGGATGCCAGCAAACCACAGAGAGAGCCGTTTTTGAATAATTTGAAAAAAAAAAATTAATGTAAAATGGACCATTATCAGGAGAGATCAGCGTTCCAAAATCACCCCAGGAGTACATACATTACCCATCCAGGAGATTCCAAAAACTTAAAGCAAGATCTTGACCACTAAAAGCTTGGCTATCAGTTTTCTATGATTAAAACAAGTATGGAGACTAAACAAAAAATAAGTTTGGTACAGGAACAATACTGCCCAAAAGAAAATTAGCTATTTGCAGAATATTCTGTGGACTGTCAAGGTAACATTTCTGAGAAGGTTTACATCCTAAAACAGCATTTCAGACAAAAAACATGATACCTTCTATCAGATGTGGCTCCTACAGTCGTATGATCTGGGTCTGCGCAACGCTTCCACAAATTGCCATTAGCTACTGGAACCATGACTTACTGTAGAAGTCTGATGGAAAATCCTGAAGAACAATCTCTAGGATCTTAAGCTTAAACATGCTTGGCTTGGAAAGAGGGAAGTGATCCTAAGCACCCCAGCACATTGTGTAAACCTAAAGACTTATACCACAAACAAAATTAGTAAAACTTTTCATTCATAACCGGTAAAGAGACCATTTATTAATGATTAACAGATATATCTTAGTAGTATTTGATAATTTATAAACTCAATCTAAACCATTTATAAAAGTTAAATAGATCATATTGTCCTGCCATGTTAGTTTAGCCCTAACACTAACATCAGTGGACTTAATGTGAGCCTTGCCTTTATTTTTAATTTAACCTTTTACTTAATGGTCTATTTATCTTTAATAAATGGTTTAGATGCAGTTTATAAATGAATCAAACTTTAACAAACAATCTGTAAATCATTAATAAATGATTACCATTTATAAATGATGACTTGGTCGTTGTAAACCACAAAATGTAGGTTTTTGAGTGGCCTAGTCAAAGTCTAGTCCAATTTAGATTTGGTGGCATGACCTTACCATTCATGCAACCTACTTCTACAATTCAATTCATTTCTAGAAATGCAATTATTTGTGGTTGGAAGATATGGAAGAAAAGTTTTGCAAAACACTGACCATAATGAAGCAGGATTCATAAACTCTGCTTCTTTACGTGTCGGTTGTAAATTTATTCTGCATAGATCATTCACTCTTTTATATCTAACATGCTGTATGTTGCATGCTTACCTGGCAGATCAGGGTAGAAGGATCAATGAGATCACTCTAACCCCCATACCACTGTGGTCGATACATAAAACCCACTTAGTCAAGAAGACGGTTTCCTAAGCCTGGCTTGAAAACCCTTTTTTTATGGTCTGCTTTTATGGCTCTAAACAAGGAAGTTGGGAAGCCAAAGAGCAGAGTTGACAAGTAGGTATGAAGTTGGAGCCTGTGATTACATTACAACAATCAAACCATAGGACTCCTATAACTCCACTGCCAACTTTGTAAAGGTAATAGAACATCATGTTGAGACATGGTCTGTTTGATTAGTTTATGTGCGCTGGATCAAAGGTGCTTTAAAGGGGGACCGTATCTCAGAACTTAAGTACTTCTCACAAAACACTTGCGAGCCAGGTCTGAGACAAGTTTTTCCTATATTGGTGTGAATTAGGTAAGAAGTAAGGTGGCATGAAGGTTTGAAGTCAACCTGCTGCTTTAAAGCTTCTGAATTACCAAAGGAGACACTTACAGAGACAAGCTGGTAGGTAGGTGTGAAATGGCTGGGTAACAGTGGTACTCTGCTCTAACCAATGAAGTTGCTGAAAATTATTGTTTTAGATGCCTGTGGATGCACTGAAAACAAGCATTGTCAAAGGACAAACCCCCCAAAAAATGCCTAAAATATTTACTTGTTGCATTTTAACTTGAATCAAATTTGCCTTTAAAGACTCCTATTATTTTTCTTGCGACTTAAATTTATTGTTACACTAAATGTAAGTCTCTGGTTTAATGCTACATTATTTCAGATTTTTAGAGGGCAAGGAGGTTAGTAGGCATCATTACTAAGAGCAGTGTAAAAAAATGAAGATCAATTTACAGGTTTTGTGTGAGAATGTGGGTTTTAAATGATCTTGAGTCATGTTGCGACCCACATGAAAGTTTAAACTTCTATAGCCAAACTCCAAAATTAGCTCTTTACCATGTTCACGAAGCAGAAAATGTCAACTGATTTACTGATAAAATGATTTAACAGGTGAATTAATGATTTAAAACTACCTTCTATAATTATGCTTTTATTGTGAGAAAGAATGCTCCAACTTAATATCTTATGTACATAATTTGACCAAGGAATTCCCCATCTGCCACCTCTATCCTAACGATTTGACCTGTATAAGGAGAGGAGAGGAGAGATGGCACTTAGGCACACCTCCCTACATAGAAAGCCTGTTTTAGCTCCTGTCCGGCTCTGCTCTGGGCTCCTTCACGTGGGGCCCTGGATGACTTGGGAACAAATCAATCTAACAAATAATTCACCGGCTGCGGCACGCCCGGCTGAACTGATGGCAGAGGAAGTGGCAAAATGAATTAAAGTTTCAAAGGAAACTGTCACTTTGTGTTACAGAAACCGACTAAACAGGTTTATGCTTTTGCCTCCGAGAGTTGGGAAAGTGCTGAGAGCAAATTCACAAGTACTTGCTCTGGCAAGGGAAGTAAAAGCATTAGGAGCAAGCCCAGTGACAGATAAGGAAAGGCAAAATGAAAGAAAGAATGACAGAGTGAGATGGGGCGATTCTACTTCTGTTGTTCCACATCTTGCCTCGGTTCCTCCTTAGCCCAGTTTTTAATGTGAACTGAGTAAGAAGGAATACGAGCTCAGAAAATTCACAAGAGGCCATCAGCAGTGATCCATGGCATAGCCTGAGGATCCTACAGCTTCTGATGCAGCAAAGTTAGGCATATAAACAGTTTGAATTGTACTATCCAGTGACAGATCCTCAAAGAATTAATCCAGTTATTTTAACAACTCCGGTTTGGCATATTGAATCTATGCATGGAAGACAGTCAGGTCTATTTCTGCAGGCGGTTATGCTAAAAAGTGTGCCAGATTCCATCTAATCCAGGTCTGTAAACACGTCTCACTGAAAGCACCGCCGCTCTGCAGTAGCTGCACGCAATAATGGCTGCAGCATGTTAACTTGTATCCATTTTTCAGCTTCTGTGGAGGGGATCGTATCAACATGCAACAGATGAATCATCTGATTTAAAGAGGTTGTTTATGTCAGTGGTTTGGAGTTTCTGCACCCGAGGCAAACCAGGGATGCCAGACAACTAGCAACTGCCTCTACTAATAATGACAAACAGCCTTTGATGGAGTCAGTTATAAGGGAAAGTAGGGCCAGGGGTGCATAAGCATACAGTATAGTGAAAAAAAAACAAATTTTTAATAATAGAATAAATACTGCAATTAAGCTTACAACTGTAAATATATGTAAAAATGTTAGAGATGAAATACACACAGTGCTTTGCTAAAGTTTAAGTAGTTGTAGAACTTTGCTTTATTTCATCCTACCTCAACAAGTTCAAATGCTTTTATTAAACTGTTCCGGTACACAAAAACTCAAAGCATACTATTTTGAAGGGAAGGAAGAGTGATATAAGGTTTTAAAATAAAAATAACTTATAAATGTAGCTTTTGGTTACAAATATCACTGTATTTATTATGACTGCAAGTTGGTTGGGGAACAAAAGCTTTTCACATTTATAATTTTTTTTCTTCAATTTTTGCATTTTTTATTTGGAAGTAGCGCAACTCAAATTGGAATATTTTATGTCTGCCTGCAAATTCTCGCTTGGACTGAAGTCAGGACTTTGATTTGGCCACTTAAACTAATGAATGTGCTTTCATATGATCCATTAAATTGTACCGCTAGATGTATGTTTATGCCCCAAATGTAAGTCTTTTCATAACTTACATTGTTTTTTTTCTTCCATGACTGGTTTATATTTAGCTCAATTTTCCAAATTCGAAATTTACATATACATGCTTTAAAGAATCATCCTCCTGGCGTAATGGTACCACTATATCTATGGCTGTTGGAAACAGGATTTATACACGTGGCCAGAAAGATTAAAATCTGAACAGATCTTTTTTAATATTGTTTACTCCACATGGTAACAAACTTTAGATGACAATTCTTCTATCATTTAAATATACAATTTAACTTTAAATGTTTGTGCTAGTTTGTGGTAAGATTTCAGATTAAAATCTTAATAAAATAAATTGAAGTTTGAGATTTTAGAAATGCATGTAATAAAAAAAAATCTTATTATAAACAGTAAAATTAAAAAGAAATCAATTGTTTAATTTGAGATTTCTTTATATGAAAGTAAAGGTAAATTACTTTCCCTTAGGTTTTTTTCACAGATCACTGTCTTTATATTCACTGCCTATTTAGTGCTTCGGGATTATTGATGAAATCAACATTTCACCAAATACAGGGTTCTGAAGTCCTATGTTTTCACCCTTCTTATAGTACAAATAGAATATTTGGGTTAATGGATTAAAAACAAGCAAACTAAACTCAAACTCAAACTATCTGCCATGTGTTCCAATGGTCCAGGTGCTGCAGCTACTTAGAAATTGATGCTTTTTCAGTCAATGAACTGGGATATGACTATCTGAAGGCTTCTCAGGTCGAAATATCCCCTTTCATCCTTTGTGGCTAACTTGCAAAGCTCCAAGGACAACAAAGCGTTGGAGAAAACCGATCTGCAAGAGGTTTGGTAATCCAAAGTTGACTAGTTTCTTTTGAAGTTACCTGCTCCTTTGTTTGGGTTATTGAGGAGCAACAGTAATGTGGTTTGGAAGGACTGCTGGTGACTGGAGATAACCTGACCACTGGAAGGGATCTTGCATTGATGGAAATGAAAATGATCTCTTTCTAAAGTTTTTTTGTTTAAACCTTTGAAGAATATTATTACATTAACTGTTGTTTGGGACCTTTTGTATCTCAATGGCAGCTAATCTTCCAGTAAGCCTGTGCTTTAAAGGTACTTGATTGAAGTGTGTTTGAGGAGAAAACCACAAGCCATTTGAAATCCAAATTTTTACCTGGTAGCTGTGGGTTAAACGTCTAATTCCAAAGCCTACAACTGATTCATCTTTTATTTAGACAGTACCAGTGATTAATTGCAACTGAAAATGTTAAGTTTTGATTTTGCCACTTCTGAGAGTTGTTTTTTTTAAATAAGTTGCAAACAGACACTGAAAAATAAAGCCAGAAACATCAGAAGGATTCAGTAAAACTGACCTCTTTTAAAGACAATGCTGTCATAGGGTATTTTGTTTTTGGTTTCCAGACTCGAGCAGTTCCAGCGGTGCCCTCTGAACTGGTGCTGGCACTCATGGATGGCAATCTGGATTCCTTGGATTGCTGAAGCCGTCACATCTGGATTGCGCATGCACACCTCCAGCTGGCGTCTCGTCAGCCCGGGTAGTGTCAGACAGACGGTGTTGGCATTCAGGATGGGTTCAATGTTGGGTAGTTTCAGACCTAAGATCTCATTGGAATCCACCCTATGAGAAGCACAAAGTTGGTGGTTATTAGTGGGGTGGATCTGTTGCTCAAAACTTTTGCTTCTTCTCTGCTTGACTTTGTTAGTCACTAAAAGTCTAATCAAGACCCCTTAAATGTGACCTTAATATAAAGTTCCATCAGTGACAAAAAGATGTCCTAAACGTACTGTTTTATTGCTGGGTCGTATAAAGTTTAAATACAATTCACAAATGGTTTAAGTTAACAGTTAAAAAAAAACAGACAGAGATATGTCATTTTTAGCACACTTAAATCTGTAAATAAAAAAAAAAAAAAAAAAAAAAAAAGTGTTTTTAAGAACGCTTGTTTTAAGAAGCTTAATTTATTTATTTAAGAGAAAATAGTCTGGGGGAAAAAATGAGACAGTTGTTGGAAATGCTTGTAATATAGTTTTAATTGCTTCCTAATATTGCAAACTCTGTATCATAAGGGACGAGTTTAAAGTACAGCTTTAATAACCAGTGGAAAACCCCCGTCATGTTGCTTCATAAATCTGCTCTTGAAAATATAACTTGACAAACACTTTCCCACTAACTGCAAAAGTTATTATCAGTTCAGAGAAGTTTTTGTTGGAGATCAATCGTGCGAACCAGCATTCAGCCAACGGCACTTTTGGAGACCTTTCCAACTTCACAAAGAAGCAGGAAAAGCAGCAAGAACTAAACGTTTGAGACCTGAAAGATCTTAGGGATGTACTGTATTTCCTTTCATCACCATTACGCTTAAATCACTGGCTGTGTGTGCTTCTGCTTGTCTCAGTCTCAAATACATGGAGTCACAAGCATGTGTAGCTCTTGGCAAACACAAACCAGCAACTGCTCAAGCACACCTTAAAATGCAAATACTCTGGAGTAAGGGAGAGTGCACAGTTGGTTTTACGCACTAAGCCACTTTGCACGCCACTTCCATGCAGTTCCAGGTATAACTACCACATTCATTTATTTTTACTCTCATGTTATCTTAGTAGGAATTGCATAGCTTTGCAAGTTTCTGCTTCAATGTCAGCACAAAGTGTGGAACAACTATTTCCAAACAATATAATTGCACTAACAGGTTTAAATCACTTATTTATTAGGCTACTTGCGCTTAGATTGTGCAGCCTCTAATTGCATTAATAAAAAATAATGAAATGAAAAAAAGAGAAAAACTTTTGTTAACTTATAACACGCCCTACTGAACACTAGTAATATTAAAATAAAATCTATATTTTTTTGTAAATTCAACTTACCTTTTATCCAGAAGACAAATAACCACCAAGACGCATGTGAGTTTGACGACTGATTGTTCCATGTTTGCGCTCATAAAAAAAAAAAAAAAAAGTTTTTTTTGGTTTTAACTTTTTAATGAAGTTTCAAAAATTATAAGAAATTATAAGAAATTTCTTGAAACAATGTTTTAAGTATAGGGATCAATAAAACAAATCACTTCCGTCTAAAGTTGGACGCTGGATTTGACAGCTCCGGGTCCTGCGTCCAGATGTGCCAGCCTCATTCAACAGAAAAGTTTCATCAAGCTCTAAAGTCACAGGCGGTCATGAGAGAGCTGGTTCCTACAAGTTTGGGGAAAAGTCAGTTCTTTCGCTCTCGGATACATCCGCGCTCATGCCGGTGTCCTTGCCAACGAGGAGTTTCATTTAGAGAACATCCGAGTTAAGACAGTCGGCTTCTTACCTATAGGCTTCACTAAATGAAGTCCGCTTGAGTAGTGATGTTTAGTCCTCTAAACTCCTGCTCTTAGCGCTCTGCCAGCCCACTTCGTTGCGTCACTAAGGGAATAGGAGAGCGTCGAGGGAGGTCAAGTGCCTCGTTAAGGCAAGATAGAGATCCTCCAAGATAAGGACACCAGAAACACTTAGCCTGCGCCCTCTGTGAAGCAGAGCAGTTAGATATTCACTGGAGGGGCGATGATGCTGAGGATGATAAAGCAAAGTGCGCAAATGAAAACTTAAGTGAAGTGCTTAGAAATTTCTCTTTTGGCAAAAATAAAGTTCATCACAACCAGAGGAGATATAATACTCAAAGCTGCCTGCAGGTTTTTGGCTTCTTAAGTTATATAAAGTTACAAAATACTGTCAAGACACAAAAATAAATAAAATTGAACATTTAAACAAAGACAAAAACTGATTTCCTTGTATTTGTATTACCAAATGGTAAGCCTAGAATAAACTTTTTTTTTTCAATAAAGGAACTTTAGTAATCTGATATTTGATTAATAGGAACTGTAAATCGCGAGGGACCTTTACATTTTTGGCGTGTTGACAGAAAGGTACACAGTTCCTGAAATTATAATTTTTTTCTACAGTGAGGTGATGAAGCAGACTGAAACTGTTTTATCACTATCTCCCTTTTATCTCCTCTTTTTCATCTTTTATCCTTTTTTTTCTGTTTTTCCTTTCCTGTTCTACTTACATTGCAATGTCCATATAATCTGTAAAACTCCCTGCATAATTATAATAAAGCAATTTATATGCATAAAACAAGTGGAACACTATGGGATAGCCGTTCTTCTTCTCTTGTAAAAGTAAAATCTGTTGGGCTCTTTTTGGCATCAAGACAGTTATTCCTATTGCCACATCGCCAGACAGGACACTGAATAATACAAATAAATACAATGACGTTTATTACTACAAAGATACTGATAACTGTTATATTATCTGAATTTTTAATAGAATGTAACTAAGAAAATTCTTGTCAGTATTTCATTTTTACCTCTGGTTTGCCCTTTTTTACCGTTTGTTTATTGTTCTGGTGTCTTGCCATAAGCCAGCCCATCACCTGACACATTGACGCATCCTGCTTTGAATAGAATAGAATAGAATAGAATAGAATAGAATAGAATAGAAAACCCCTTTATTGCCCCACAATAGTGAAATTGTGCTGTTACAGCAGCTAAAGATTACAGCAAAAGTGTTCAGACAAATGTGGACCTTAAAAAATCTATAAAAATAGCAGAAAAAGTGACAGAGTAAAAAAAAAAAAAAAAATTAACACAATGTACAGTACAGTGTTTTTACAATATAAATACCGTGCATCTGGAGACTAAATAATCAATATGCTGCTGTGGACATTTTTACAGTAATGGATATTACTGTAACACAACAAGAAAGATAGAAAACAGTTGTTTGAGTCTAATTCTAAAATTTAAATATTCTTTCACAGTTTTCATCTTACAGGAAATTTTTTGATCACCTGCTCTGGGACGAAGAGCTCTGGTCAAGAACTGCACATAGGAAACAATAGACAACATTTACCCATCTGTTTAGTACGGATGCTCAAAGCAGATTGTACTGCTAAATAATGATATAAAAATTATTACTTTTTGTTATATTTTCCTTCATATAAGTGATATAGGATTGGATTACTTCATCTGGTCAAAAACATCCAACTATATATATATATATATATATATATAGATATAACAAAAAATATCAACAAAACAGATTCATAACTTAGACTCAGTTTAGATAGATATGATTTCATATAGAAAAAATTGTAAGCCTTAAAGCTCTAGATGTCTGCAATACAGATACAAAAGGTCACAAACAAAATTTAATGTAATAATTCTTTGGTGGAATATTACTGTTAAGTGCTGTTCATCTACTTTTACAAGACACAGTTAAGGGGGAGTGGCTGCCTAATGGTTAGAGCATTGAGCTTGGTGGCTGGAGGTTCTGAGTTCAACCTCCACTCCCTCGGACTGCCACTCTGGCTCCCTTAGCAAGTCCCTTAACCCCCACACTGCTCCCTGGGTGCTGCACAATGACAGCCCACTGCTCCCCAAGGGATGGATTAAATGCAGAGTGCATTCCGTTGCTTTGTACTTGTGACAATGTAATGCCAATAAAGTTGAATTATATTCTTTATAAATGAAAAAATATGTGTTCATAACATTTTGGTAGAAAATATCCTAGACTTTACTCAGCCTATTCAGTTTAAACAATAGCTTATGTTACTGGAACTCGTTACACACAGATAGATTTAATTAAATTCATCATTTTATGGATGTCTTTAGCTATGGCCCACAAAATAACACAGAAAGCAAAGCTGTTCAGCTGACAGTCACTGATATCCTAAATAGGGATGTTGTGTTGCAAAATCACTTATGAGGTCTAGGCTGACTTACTAAGGATATTTCTGTATGTCAATGTTAATTTAATGATCACCTAAAACCTTTTAGAGTTATTTTGTAAATACCTGTTTATGGCACTGTAAAGTGATTTGAAGGAATTTGTTTGCTCACACCTAGTAGGACTACTCATATTATACTCTATGCTTACACATTGATAAAATCAGGGCAAATCAGTACTTTAATATGCTGTGTCTAGTTATCCCTAAAAGTCTTCCCCATTACTTAAATGCAGAGTATTTTTAACCAGGTTTAAGTCTGTTGATAGGAGAATCTTTCTGTTCTGTGAGAAAAAAAATAAGCAAAAAGAAATGAGAACTTGTTAAATTGTTGGTTTCATTTGCTGCTTAACCTCCTTTGTGTGTCATTGTCTTTAATCTCTCTGTATAAATGACTATAAAGTACAACTAAAAAGCTACCATGTTGATGAATACCATATGATATCACTCATCCTGGTGCTTTATGAGTAGCTTAGAATAAAGATTCAGAAACCACAAATAAAAAGGCTTTCCCTTCTAGTGCAGGGAAGTGAGCATTCTGCCAGCATGGAGTCACCAGAGTGGTAAAACACAACATGGGTTCAGCATTCAGACATAATTAAGTTACCATACACGTGTTTGGAGGATTAGGAATCAAACCCAATGAGAAAAAAGTCTTACATAGGAATTTATTAATGCATTCTGAGCTGAACGAGTTTGAGAGAGATGGCAGAGATGGTAAATCTGTTCCAAATGCTCTCAAAATGTTGAGCATACTAGGCACAACTTAGAGAACTTTTATATTTTGTAGACTCTGTGGTTTTGTTACTTTAATTAGTCTCACAGCCCAATATGTCATATGCCGACATCAGCTTTTCTGTCACAGATAAAAATAAATAAATAAATAAATAAAAAGAACAAACATCGTGTAATTAATTACAGCTGTGTGTAAATATGATGCATATATTGAACTAGACTAAACTGTGGTAATGAAAAACAGAATCAAAATTTAGTGAAATGAAGTCATGCTGTATTAGACTTATCCAAAATGTGAAAATATGTAAGAATTTAGTGAGCTGTATTATAGGAATAGAGTTCAATTGACTTCAATAAGAATATGGATGGATTTGTCATTTGCAGTATCTATACCTTATACACATTGCATAATTAAAAAGTTTAATGAATTAAAAAATGCAATATCAGGATGTTATGTCTTGGAAAAAACTGAATGGCTGCTAGCAGGAATGGGTTTCTCTATTGGTGTGTTCTGTACAGGGAAGGACCCGTTTATGGTGGAAGGTTTTTCTTTGTAAAATGAAGAGTGCAGGAGGGGATTTGTTGATTAATGAGTTAAGTTTACAATGCATTCTCAACTCTGCCACCTGCTGAACTATTTAAAATAGTACCCCATATGGGGAACTTGCTGTCCTGATTCTGTGTGCCAGAACCAACAGTTTTGTAAGAGCAGATTAGTGCTGATTAGTGTGCTGCAGGTATTGAAAAAATAAAAAGAAAGAAAGAAATACATGGCTTTGGCCCCTGTGGTACAACCCTTCCATGTGAGTGGTCCAGTTACGCTTACTGTCCTGCTACATTTCCAGGTACATGTGTCTAGAAACAGTTTCTACTTAACCTCCATTTAGTGATACTGGAGAAAGTTTGGACTAAATCATCATATGATGGCTGTGTTAGACTCTGGAAGGGACATTTATAACATCTGATTTAGATAGAGGCGCACCTATGAATGTATGTAAAAGCAAACACCTGAAACAGTCTTCCTTTGAATGTCAAGATGGTAGAAGATATGAGTATGTCCATTATCATGAGGGCTGTCACATATTATATGATAACATTTCAACTACTAATTGGATGAACACCAACAATATGATCATTGCATTAGTCCTTTTTGTATTTGGATAGGTCATCACTACAGTAATAGCATGTAAGGCATAACAAAAGATCAAAGAACCTCAAAACTGTGTCAAATATAAATATGATGATAATGGTGAATGAATGGTGTGAAATGTTTAGTCTGTTATTATGGTTAATCAATAAACAGTAAGAGTAGTAATAGCAATACTGGTTATTTGCCTTGCCAGGCATAGTAGGCTGCCCAGGCAAAGTACCCGCTCTTGGATAATAAACTGAACTTTATGATCCTACTGCTAAAGAAACATTAGGAACCTTTCTTTAAGTTGT